CCAGATGTGAGTCCTCAGCACAGGAGAGACAGATCTATTGAAGTATGTCCAGAGGAGGGCCACAGAAATGATCCAGTGGAACACCCTCCCCTGCCAGAACATGCTGAGAGAGAAAAAGCTCCAGAGAGACCTAAGAGCTGTGTTTCAGTATCATAAAAGGGAAGACTGTAAGAAAGAAGGGGACAGACTCTTTAGCAGGATCTGCTGAGACAGGACAAGGGGAAATGGTTTCAAACTAAAGGAAGAAAGATTTATACTGGATATAAGGAAGATGATTTTACAACAAGGGCAGTAAAGCACTGGAACAAGGCTTCATAAAGAGTCAGTGGATACCCCATCCTTGGAGATATTCAAAGTCAGGCTGGATGGGGCTCTGAGCAAATTGATGTGGCTTAGGTGTCCTGTTCATTGCATGTGAGTTGGACTAGATGGCCACTGAGTGCTCCTTTCAACTCAGACAATTTTATGATTGATTTGAAATCCATCCCAGCCTGCTGACATCTGTGAATAAGACAGATTGGTTCAACAAACAACATTTGTTTCATCTTAGAAAGTTAGGTTCAGTCAAAATTAAACTCAAGAGTTTTTCCCATCTCAGCAAACCCTAAAGGCAACACATGCCACAAGGAAATGTAGTAGTATAATCACTATTTTACAGACAGAATTAATGCACCAGCCACCTAATAAAAGTATTTCCTGGTCACTCAGGTAGCACAAAGAGTAGCAGGACAACAATTTGAATGAAAGCCTTTTTAGCTGCTGTCTTATTTGTGAACATTCAATATATAACACAAAAGACAAATGAAATCTAAAGAATCGTATCACAGGAGTTGCAGGTTTCAAAAATCGTTCTTTCATCTGATGCAATGCTCTGTAGTGTGCTAGGTTTCCAGTCTCCCCTAAATCACAACATTGTCAGGGAACATAAGCCAGCCTAGGGAAATCTCATATGTGATATTCCACCATACAGGAGCAACACAAAATGAAATAATGAAATAATATACTAAATCTCTATACTGTTTATTTTGGATCCATTCTGTTACTTAAAAATGTTACAATAGTTTCCACATTCAGTCAGTAATTAACTAGCAACAAGAATGCAGTAAACATCTTTACAAGATGTATTTCCAGTAAAACTATAAACATTGTTGTGTAAAGATGATATTGTACTAAAATCCAATATGAACCTACCACAGCAATACTGGCAATATTTCAGCTTGCAAAGATTACCTGATACAAAATCATTTCACATTTTAACACCAAATACCAAAATTGGCTATAAAAATAAATGCTAGTCTAAGAATTAATGCTTTCCTTTTATGTTTTTTTTTGTTTGTTTTTGTTTTTTATTTTTTTAAGGTGTAGGAAAACTGAGATTCAAATTGTAGTGAGAAATGCCAGCAACTGTTCTGCGGTTTCCAGTTTGTATTCTTTACTCATTATTTATGAAACTTTTTAGAACTTTGTGACCTCTGGTTGGGAAAAACAATGTCTTTCCATCTGGCATACATTTTGTTTCGATGCATTTTCCTGTAGCAGCTAAGTCAATATGCTGCATTCTATTTAATTACTCTGTTACTCAGCATCATTGCGTTAGAATATCACTGCAGGTTTAGAAGTGTACGTACAATATGCAATTGTCACTATGGGACACAGCTGTAAGAAGATGATAATTTTTCTTCTGTACAGCACACATGAGAAAGATTACAAAGGGCATCTATTTCACTATATAAAGATAGCCCAGTAGTTCTCAAGCTTTTCTCCAAATGACCCCAACATGCCCTACTGGCTCAATTCTGTAGATGAACACACTGTGCATTCCGAGCACATTATTACAAAATGCTCCAATTCAAATGTTTTAAAACCAGAAGAGATTATTAGAAAGAATTTGTGCAGATTCTCTGCTGGTAAGTATACATCATCAGAAGCACTGAATCATTTCAGTCTGTGACTTTACCCTTCTCTCATGACCCATAAAATCATAGACAGAAGTAAGGACTGTAAAGGACAAAAACTGCTCATCAATCAAATGATTAGCACCAACCAGACTGCCCGACAAAGAGATCTCCACACCCAAGCACAACCAGCCAAGCTACATTTGTGACTCCCACAGTAATCATTGGTCCACAAAAGAACAGCAAATCATGTCGCTAATGAAAATATCACTCCCATTTTTAAGAATGGTAGAAAGGAAAACCCAAGAAACTACAGGCCATTGATCCTCACCTCTGTGCCTGGGAAGAGATCATAGAATAGATCCTCCTGGAAGATCTGTTAAGGCACATGCAAGGCAGGGAGGTGATCTCATTGAGAGAAAGCTCTAGGAAGACCTCATTGTGGCCTTTCAGTACTTGAGGGGAGCTTATGAACAAGAGACCAACTTTTTACAGTCTGAATAGTGATAAGACAAGGGGGAATTGTTTTAAACTAAAAGGGGGGGAGATTTATGTTAGATGTTAGGTGGACATGCTTTACTCAGTAAATTGTGAATGAGCCACCCTCGGAGATTTTCACAGCTAGCCTGGATGGGACCCTGAGGAGCATAATCTAGGAGCTGGCAACCCTGCCCATGGCAGGGAATTCACCCCAAATGATCTTGTGATTCAACGATTTCTGACTGACACGGCAGCAGACACTGGCAGCCAGAACAGGGCAGTAAAATGCAGTCTAAGCACCAAACAGCAAGTGGGACTTAGCAGTGCATCATCTGCTCAGGTGTGCCACTATTCTCCCAGAGGGAAGAGGAAAAGATATGCTGCAGGGGGGCTTCCCAGAACTCCTGACACACCATCTCTGTCACTTTCACCTCTCTCCGCTCTGGAGAGCACAAATCCTTGCATAATGAAATTCCTGCATCCTTCAGAAAGCAGTTCCATTTTCCTCACTGTGAAATAGCTTCTCCTTCTCCATGCAAAATCTCCTCCAGTCACCTTCCCATTCCCCACTAGAAACACAGCTAGTAATTACCTGGTGTCATAATTCATCACTTAACTTTTATTCTCATTCCTCAGATTCTCTTTGTATTTTCAGTTAGAAAAGAAAGCAGCTGTAATTCTCTAAAGCATCAACATGCTGGTTCTAAATGACTGTCCTGTTAGCTGGTGTAAAGTATGACACAGGTTAGCCAAAAAGCTGAGCTAAAAAAATCATAAAATCAACTTCTTCTAAAGAAGATCACTACCAATAATTCCTGATTTTGCCACTTTCACTTTTTCACTTAAACACTCTAAGCGTTCAGCTTAAAATCTAAGTATGCTTTTAACAACTCAAAGGAACTGTCTTCCCTAGGTAGAGAAACGCATGTACCTCTCTCAGTAGTTGTTTCAGTATTTTCTTAGTAGAAATATGTAAGTATTGGTATAAACCACACAGTCACCTAATTGCAAAATGATTACAATTGCAAAACAGAAATTTCCAAGTCATTCCTTTGTTATGACTTGCTTTGATGTTGACTAACTTGCATGTGTACTCTGCAGACTTAGCAGCTCCAGCCCAGGAGCAAGGACTAAATCATATTTCCTGCAGAGTAGCTGTTTTCTTCTGCTCTTGACAGGAGGGGTCAGACACTGAATGAAGAGTGTAATGAAGAGTAATGAAGAGTAATGTTTTCCAGAGGAACAGAGTCTGTCAAGAATCATATTTTCCAAAAGCAGAAATGAACTGGCTCATGTTTCTTCTGAGAGTTAGTGACAACAATTTTCGTTTTTCTGTTTAACTAACTATTTTTCAGCTTATTTCCAATATTCAGCTATGCCCTCCCACTGTTACCGTATGCAGCATTCCTTCCCTTGCTTTCAATCATTCTTGTGAGACTCAAAAACCAAACCAGTTTTCATGTTAACAAAAAGACTATCTCCTAATGGCACGTCACTTGAGTAAGCCGCTGCTATTCAACTAATGCCTGGAATAATGAAATACTATAATTTTAAGACTTCCCTAACTGGTTCACCTTGCAAACTACTTTGACAACCTGAGGGCTCAGAAACACTGTGAAAATACCATGGCTTAACAATACTCAAACAGCTCAGCTGACCAGCAAATACACAACCATTTTAGCTGCATACAGGTAATACAGAAGCAATACCATGGTCTGAGGTGCAGTAGTAGCAAAATAATACTGAAATTCTTAGGGGGAAAAACAGTTTTTCTGATAGTCAGAGGCTGTTAAGTAAACAGTAAAACAGTAGAGGAAGTTAAACCAACCATGAACTGTATTAATGGAAAACAAATACTAAATGGAAGCAGGAAAATACACAGTAAGTGTCTCAAAAACAGCTTTTGGATGTTGTATGTCTAAACAAGTATTAGATCAGTTAATCAGAATGACATAAAAACACTGCAGTTGGAATTGTATTTATGCACCATCATGCAATTAATTTAACGAAAAAGAATCTTAGGCAAGTGAGACCAATTATTAACAAGGTATTTCAAAATATCCTATAGCAAAGTCTTTCATCATCCTAATCATTAACACAATTCACTGGAAGTCAAAATTTATGAAGTTTGGACACATCACTTTTAAATTTTTTTTCTCCTGCTCCTTAATGTTGGAAAGTTTTAGATCTATTCTACCGTCATCAGAATTGATGACGCTATCATCAATAGCATTGATGATGCTGTTCAGCAAGCCATAATAGGTCATAAGACACAAGGAGGCTGCAGCTATGATGTACATGAGGATCTGCAACCTGATTTTCACTACTAATACTGTGCATAAGAGCAATTTTACACTGCAATGCATCCACTAAAGGAATAACTGAAGAGCTTAAAGAAGTAATCTTTTGTCATGAAGGACTACCACTTTTCTTTTTTTTCATTTTTATCATTTTCAGTGTATCAACAAGCTATCTTGATGACAACTAGCTTTTCTTAAGATTCTGAATGAATTTTCACATCTTCATTAAGTTGTTCAAAATAAAAGCATTACCTAGTTTCACTCTAACGTTGCATTACGTTTGAAAAAAGGCAATAGTAAGCACATAAACTGAAGTCAGTCATACCTTTAGCCACGGCTTCTTTATACTTTTCTTTGGCAGAATTTACTTCTTTTATTAGTTGTCTATAGCTAGATTTTAGTTTCTCAAGTTCTGTCTTTGTGACCTTTAAGAAAACAGAAACAAAGAGCATAAAAAATACTTACTCTCAACATTAAAGATGTCATATAAGATTTACTCCAAAAATAAGGATGCTGCCACTTTTTAATGGCTTGCAATAATCCTATCAGACTATTATGCAGCATGACAAAATCAAAAATCAGTGAATGTTCAGAATGAAATAAGAGGCCTGAAAGTGATTTCCCCGTTTGCATCTCTGCAGCACAGCGTAAGGACAAACATTTAGGAAATCTTAGTGTAAACACTATTCCACTTCAGTCAAAGTGAAAAAAGCACCAAAAAGGATGATCATTAAACCATACAAGATGAAAACATTCACACAAGAAGGAATTCTTCTAATGCCTCAAAATACAAATACAGTAGAACTTTTGGATCTAAAATTTTATGCAAATAGCTTAGAAGTCACTACTGTGCATGAAAAAAAATCTATCTGCCATGAAACTTAAATCCACAAAAAATTTTAAGAAGTACCGTGGAATGAAGTACTGGCAGAGTTTCTTTCAACAGACACACTTATTCCATTTTGCATCACAGAATACTAAACTTCAACCTTCTGTTTTCATTTACAGCGTGAAAATTAGTTCACTGCTCAAAAATATTCATAATTCATGAACGTGTAACACAAGTTCATTACAAACCAGTCATTACAATACCACAAAGTTGACATAAATATTGAAGAAATGTAAAAACTTTGATAAAGCAACATGCTCTCACAATGGGCTACCATGGAAGAGGAACTTAATCTAATGAAAGCACATGTTGCACTGCATAGAAAAGGAAGTCTGTTCTACAGAAAAACTCGTCCTTATGCAAAAGGCATGAAGAAAACTAGCATTCACAGTCCCTCCTTTCTTTGTGAGATAAGGCCCAGATACCATTATTCTCACTCTCACGAGCAACACTTGAAGACTCAGGGAAACTCCCTCAAGAGCAAACAAGACACTACATGTAATTCCTACTTCTGGACCACCTGCGCAAAGGCTCAATTTAAAAATAAGAACGTAAGATCTTTTGCAAACTATTCATCCCATATTCTCACATTAATTTGTACTGTAAAATCATTCACAACTGCTGTTATTACTGACTAAAAGAGATTGCACAGGAGAAATAAAATTTACAGCGCACTCGTATTATGAAGTTACTTTAAGCAATGGACAGAAGAACATGATTAGCAAGCAATGAAGACAATACACACGTAATGATGAATGTTCTTTTCTGACAGAAAGCTGGGAATTAAATTAGTCCAACAATACTGCAAACCTTTGTAATAACTTCAAGGTCCAGGAAAATTAATTTCACAATGTATTTTTCCATCAACAGAGAAAAACAAAGCACCTCCATCCTCTATTTACTCTTAAGCAGCTGAAGTGGTTAAGGATTATCCTAATCCCAATTTATATTTATACAGTATTTCCCACTTGGCTAGTGTCTACTTCTTCCCCTTAAAATTCACACGGAAAGAAAAAATATGAAAGATCTCAATGGAAACTGAAATAAACTTCAAGATTTACTAAAAACCATGCCTTTCATTACCCTCAATAATTTCATCAAAAAAGATTCCTCACTGTACAGGTCTCTAGAATAAGAAAAGAAGGACCCTCACGAAAGGGCAAACAGTTCCTTACCAGATACCCTAAAGATTATGAAATGTAAAGACACTGTTCTGTACAAGTTTTGGATAATGCTTTGGGAAATTATAAGTACTTTCTTAACACATATAATGGAAACAGATCTAATGCCACAGAACACAAAAAGTGTTCGGGATTTCTGGGAACCATTCTGGAAGTGTTCCATCGACGTAGAACCTTTGAATAAATAATGTCAGCTAACAAAGAAAGAACATACCACATCTAACCAAAACTTTATCCAAGTGCTTCTTAGGAAAGCCACGAAGGCAGAAGGAGGCGGTGGGAAAAGAAGGAGTACAAAAATTAGTGCAAGTTTATTCATTAGGATGGAAAAAACCTTGCACAATCATGCATTTTGTTCACCTTACGATTAAAATCAATATAGCCTGTAATTAAATATTTGCGAAGTGTTTAGTCTACTTTATATTTTGTTGAAGAAGTCTTACTCTCTTTCTTTTAAAAAGCGTTTTACAAGAGTGAACTTAAAAAGAAAAAAAAGCATGTTTAATACAGGCTCTTTTAAAAGCATATATGAATACCCAGCAATCTTCTTTTTGCTATCCCTAATTTCTTCATTGTTATCTTCTTTCTTTTTCCATTTCTCAAGTTCTTTGTAAGTTTATCACAACACTTTTTCTCCACCTTTGATCCTGAGCATTTCCAGATGCACTAATCCATAAGTGCCTGTGAGTGATTATTTGGCTTGGCAACTCTATCAGGTAAGACAATCTCTACCAAACATGCATTAAAAATGATGTACTTCCCACAGTTAATACCCAGGGAAGATGCCAAACTCCCAAGAGATTATGGAAGCAGTCCTACTAAAGCCAAACATTTAACATGATATATGTTCAGTACCAGAGTAAGGTTATTCTCATTACCTGCCCGAGAATCTTTTTCTACTAGTCTGCGATATCCGTACTACGTTACTCGTAGGTTATATTTTATGCTACTCCAGATCTCTAAATCTCTGCTAAAAGAAAGAAACAGTGCTTTTCTTGTGAGACCTTTTAGACTACCAATCAGTTTCTTCACATTCGCAGTTAATCCTCCCCCAGAGCATCTGAATTAAACTGAGATTTCTGTCAGCTTTACTGACAAGACACAGTGCTGTCAATATCACAGACACAACTGACAATAGAAAGGGTCCTGAAGAGCTCCACCTACAGACTTAATATTTGGTTTACAATTGACTTATATTTTAGAATAAGGATTAGAATCCCATCCCCACCCAAAACAGTCCAGGCTGCCAAAATCACTCAATAATAAAAGCTTTCAGTGGATGTCTACAGCAAAATGAGAAAAGTAAAAAAGATGGAACAGAGAATCATCTGCGAGGAGCATTTCCTACACTATCTGACCAAATCAATTCACACAGAAGAAAGACTTCCTCTTCCCCCTTGTCAGGTAGCAGCAATGAAAAAACATATAGGAAGCAACTAACATTTGAGCTAGGCAGCCTAGATACCGCTTTTACAATAGCAAAAAACAAAAACAAAATCTAAAAAAATGCTCAATGTTATTTTTTTAAGTACACAAAATTTCAGTAAATCTACAAAGAACATTTGAATAAAATACCTTGTACATCTCTGCTTCAATTTGTTGATGAACCCCGATGTAACTCTTCTTCACTTGCTGTTTGTCCTTGATCATCATTGTAAGCCTATGTAAAGGCCCAGAATTAAGATCTTCTGCGTGTGTCTTCATTATTTTGCTCAGCTGTTCTGTTTGTTGTACTACGAGCAACCAAGACTATAAAAAAATAAAATAAAATCAGGAGAGAAGAGTCACTTATTCTAGCTGACAAATAACTAAACAATGAAAATGGGTTGTGGTAAAAGATGCATTCAGTTAAAAACAAACAAACAAACAACAACAAATAAAAACTGAACTTCCCAAATTCACTTGAGATCTTCCACAAAAATTCCTTCTCCTGTAACAAAATCATGCAGTGAACTTAGTCATAAACTCATAAAAAAAAGCACCAGGGACAAAAACACAGCATCATACAGTCACTCCACAGAGTACTCTTTGCACTTCTGAACACTCAAGAAAGCTCTACAGCTTTTTTCAGATCACATCTTCAACACATCTGACAAGCACATTCCTGTGCTCTTTGCTTTCCCACCACCTGATCATTTACTCTGATAAATGACTTCTTTGTCCTGGTCTAAATACCTCACAGTGATAAGCATTTGAATTATTACTGTTCAAGAGAACACCATTTGCCAGCTGCTTCACATAACTGACAGCACCAAGCCACCAGCAGCAGCGCGATGTAATGCTGCTAACAGATTAGAAGTTCCCTGTCACGGCAACCAAGCGGCTTTTTGCAACCTTACTTTAATAACTTCTTTAGCCATCCCATCAGTCTGTTTTCAGGACTGCTTAATATATCGTGGCTTTTGATAAGAACTGAGTGCTGAACAGAGAGACTTTTGGTGCACTACAGACGAAAAGTCAAGAATTAGAGTTCAGTTCAGATGGAAGTATTTGTTACCCTTAAAAACCCTTGCCCATTACACTTTGTTGACAGGAACAGCATTGGATTCATAAGATATAACTCACTAACACAGACTGCTGTACTGCAGTTAACATTTCAGCGTGGCTGTTTCCAATACAATTACCAGTTATTGAATGCAGCTGGTACATCAGTTTTAATGGCACTTGTCTTAATATTTTTAAACATAGAAATACACCTTATATCGTGAAAACTTACAAAATTCATTTGTTTGGCAGATCTCATCTTTTTTATCATATACAAACATACATATGTATGTTTATATGAGCATGTACATACATATGCATACATACTTATACACAACAATGCTGCTAGCCAACTGTAATTCACAGAACAAAATGAAAGACAGAGAACAAAATGAAAGTTAATTCCTGTATGCAGTAAACCATCTTTAATATTTCCTTTAGCTGATAAGAATTCTAGCAACCACTGGCATTACTGCTTTAAGCGTGATGTTATATAATAAGCTCAGAGTCTGAAGATTACTGATTACATCAGAAAAGTGTTTATCTCTCCATTTACAGAGAACTTTCCGAATGACTTCAGAAGCCATGTCACAAAGCTGTGTACAATAAAAATAACATCAAAAATACATATGAGAAGAGTGGTTACAGAAAAGCTCATCATAGCACTCTCGGAGGTGAAAAAGTAATAAAAGTAATGCATTTCTTTGGGTGATTTATTGCCAGACAAACACAGCTTCAATCAATAAAGAAATACATAGCCTACAATTCACCAAACAAGCCCAATTAAGTCTGACACCTAGCAAAAACCTGTCCTTCTATTTAAAAATTAACCCAAGACTGACACCAAAAGAAAAGTGATCTATTTAAAAAACAAAATAATTTGCACATTTTCCCTTTCCTCATATTCCTGCTTTTAGATGAGAAAGCACTAGTTGAACAAGATTTCTGTGTTCTGTAAAATGTTATTGTTTTTAAATAGCAGAAGGTGAAAGATTATAATAGAAGAAAAACTACAAAAATTAAGATTTAAGGGACAAAAAAACAGCTGGGTGGAGTCATCAGAAAGGCAAAGCACTTCCTTTCCTCTAAAAACCCACGATCCAGCAAAAACTGTAAAATATAACATTGTTTGATTAGAAAACATTTTTAGACACGGATGCACACAAAACATACATAAGTATGCAGAGACAGTATTTTAATTCAGGAAGTATAAGATACTATTTACATCCCACAAAAATTGTGTCAGATTTTAATTATGTAAAATGTCAGAAAGAGACAAAAAGAATAATTAAATAGCAATATATATTAGAACAGCTCAAGTAATCAAATGATAACTTAGATATTTTACCTACTGAAAGCAATATGACAATATATCACTCTGCTAGCATAAAATCCAAGCTGACAGTCTAACTTCAAGGCAAGCCTATGCATATGATCTATCAGTATTACATGAATATTTTTGTAGTTATGTGAAAGATCAGAGATCATGGGCTTAGGAGGAAAACAGCAATTCCCCGACAGAAAAATGAAATGAACAAAAGTAACCTGAAAGATTAACTTGAGTAGCAACATCCAAAACAGCACTTAAAAATGTGAAAAAAATGCTTCTGTTTAACCTGCATAGAAAATGGTTTAAGACACGTATTCAACTTCTTACAGAGGCTCAACTGAGCAGAGAGCTAATCACCTGAAGGTGAACCTGAAGGGTTGCAACGCTCAGCATTCAAAAGGTGCCAGTGCTTCTTTACCATTTTAGCCAGAATCCACTGTTTTGTTGCCCATAAGCACTGCAAGGCTTTTTTGCTACCACATAACAAGAATCCCAGTGGGGCAGCAACAGCAAGAAATATTAACAGTATTGTTGTAATTCTGTAAAAACTCTGGGATCTGACAGCAGAAAGCTTGAAAAAAATACATGATTTTGCCATCAGTGAACAAAAAAGTTTTATGTAAATTTACCAAAATCATCACAACTGTGGGTAAGATACATAACTACGTGAACAGCATTTCAAACATACCACCAAAACGCAATAGATGAAAAAAAACCAAACACAAAAGAACAAGCACAGCAGCTTACAAGACAAGAAATATTGGGTGGGGCAGGCAACAACAGAATCCATTACAGATAAACACTACCCAGTGCTATTTCAGGGCAGCTGAAGCAAACTAGCTACTTCAGTGCAGCTTTCAAGCCACACAGTCACTTTACTTTCACTAGTACCGATCGAGACAGCTGCAAACAGAGCACTAATGCTCCTGCTGCAATACCATAACTTGATCTCAAGCAGCAACTTCATAAGCACACTGCATAAAAAATGCTTTGTGTAGAATTTAACTTGTCCCCAAACCAGCCTTCTGCAGAGAGCAGGATTCATGCCAGACTGACGGAACTGTGTAAGCACTGCAGCAGCAGAAGGATCAAAAATTGAATAAGCCATAAAACAGAATTACGTTCTGTAGTCAGAAAGGAATCGAAGTCAAGAGGAAAGGTTACTAGCAGGTGGAACAGGGAAGTTTCCTTCAACTACGCCTTCACTGTACTTACTGCAAGCCTGACAATAACTTGGGGAAAACACAGCCTTACTTTATAGAAAGATCAACAAAATTATTGTAAATTGGATGGAAAATAACTTCCCAAGTACAAGGAACATCCTGAATTAAGTTTTTGTTTTAACATCACACACTGTGGTGTGAATAACAGTTGGTATGCTACACTTTGCCTTAAGTTTCCCGGCATTTTTCTATTTCTGTCACAAATTCTATACAACATAAACAATAGTTTCCATTTAACTGTCTCAAAAGAAAAGCTCACTGTAACGTATTTTGTTTTCAAAACAAAGGAGGTGAAGCATGGAGACACAAAATACTGAAATTTCAGAATTTAGGATTCTATTTTACTTACTAAATTCTACGCAAGACTGGAGTTCAAGTGCTCCACAATCCAGCAAAGAACTAAAAGCAGTTAAAAACTTCAGAAACGTTAACTCCCAAGAAGATGAATCAGGAAGAATCCAACTCAAACAAAACAAACAAAAATCAAATATTTAATTCTAAGGATATTCCAAATTCATAATTCCTCAGTCTTACCTTGGATACATTGCTGATATAATCCAATTGACAAGTGCTTTCTTTATCTACCTGATTACAAAGATTCTGTAAAGTGGAGGCATACTCTTTATCACTTTTTACACGCATGACCATAAATTTCTTGAC